CCTACCTACCTACCTACCTACCTACCTACCTACCTACCTACCTACCTGTCTATCTATCTATCTATCTATCTATCTATCTATCTATCTATCTATCTATCTATCTATCTATCTATCTATCTGTCTATCTGTCTATCCATCCATCCATTATCGTTTACCCGCTTCTTCCATTTTGGGTCACGGGGGTCGCCGGTGCCCATGTCCGGCAATCGTGCGAGGGGCGGGGTACACCCTGGACAGGTCTCCAGTCCATCACAGGGACACATAGAGACAAACAACCATTCACTCTCTCACAAACACATAGGGACAATTTAGAGTTACCAATTAGCCTAAGACGCATATTTTTGGGCTGTGGGAGGAAACTGGACTACCCGGAGAAAACCCACGCATGCACGGAGAGAACATGCAAACTCCACCCAGAAAGGCCCCCGGACCGAGATTTGAACCAGGGACCTGTTCGCTAAGAGGCAGCAGCTCTATCAGTTGCGCCACCATGCTGCCCATCTGAAAACATGTCAAAGAAGAATTTCTACCTTCTCACTGAAATTATTCTAGTAGAACTTATATTTATACTCACATGTTCTTTAACAACGCCATATTTTTGTTCTTTCAGAACTTTTAGTGGAGGATGAGACTTTTGGAGCTGTGCTCCCCTGCTAACCACCTGAATGTTCGCCTTCATGTTCTCTCTGGATGGGGAGGTGTCATCCTCTACATGTATTTGTGTAATTCCATGATACTGAAATAGAACAACCAATAAAATGAAGTAGTTTGTTTTTAACCATCAGAGTTGGAATTAGTTGCTGCAGCTGCTTACTGTGTAAATGATGTCTGTTCCATTGTGAAACACTGATGAAGGGGACACCTGAAAAATAAAACAGAATACTTTGATTTAAAGGCGATGGAGCAAAGTTACTAAGATATAAAAACTAACTAAAAATTAATTTACTTAGTGATACCTTAATACTTACAGATTTTGGATTGTTTAGAACTCGTAGCTTCTTCTTTGGGAGACTTTCTCCGGACGTGGGGATGCTGTCTCCTCGTGTCCAGACTACAGTTCCTGTGCCAAGGGGAAGCTTCTCGAGCTGAATGGATCCGTGCTGAGGGTACGTGTCTGGTCGAATTTCTTTTCCTCCGAGAACAGCCTGAGAATCCTGGTTTAGCCTGCACTGTCCTGAGGTTTTCATGTAGCAATAAGATATTCTGGTTGCAGAAATACTGTTTAACGAGTAAAAATACACGACTATATTACTTTTACTACTACCTGAGTCTCTGATGGTGATTGCAGCCCTGCGGATGCCTTTAATGACTGTGGCTTCAGGGGAGACTAGCTCAACCTCACAGCTTTCATCTGCCTCCTCGATGTGGTCCTGAATGATCTTCATTTGCCACCTCTGTTTTGCCACTCCTACACAGACAATAAAGTTGGACTGTATTGGACATTGTCTAGGAGATTATTTTATCCTTACAGAAAGAGTAAGATGAATAATGAATGTAATGGATATCTGCATTAGAAAATATTAATTCTTAATAAGTACAACCACATTTATGAAACAAGACATAAAACAAGTGATACAGTGATGATACAAGTATAGGGGAGACCGGGTGTGGTTGTAACACTTGTTGCTTCAGCTGTAGCTCATTGAATTTTTGAGCGAGGTGCTCAAACTTTTACACAAAGTGTTTGTCTTCTACAAATGGCACCGATTCAAACCTCTGCAAGATTATCACAGGCCTTGTGAGTTCATGTCAATACTCGGTTTTCCTTTGTTTGTAACACATGCTGTGGTAAGTTGTAACAGGACTGTGTGTGTTTGTATGTGTGTGTGTGTGTGGGGGGGGGGGGGTAAATGACTACTAGGACCAACTTCCTTAACGATATCAGTGGCATAGTCTACATTTTTGTAGTGGGTATACTGTACTTATAAGCCAAAGTACACTGGTTTCTACACTGTAATCGTCAATTTATTTTGATTTTTAAGCGTATTGAACATTTCCAAATTTCTCTGATGCTTATATTTGAATAAATGAACAACAAACGTTGTACAACTTTGTATTAATAACATGTTGTAGAATTTATAAAACAATATCAAAGCAAAACATGTTTAAGTAGTAAGTACAGAAATATACAATAATTTGCTGGATAAGCGATTGTAATGAAGGATTCAAGGATTCAAAGTTGTTTATTTGTCATTCGCACCCCATGTGGTACATGTGGTGGAACGAAATTGTGTACACGGGGTCCCAGTTACATCCAACAATAAAAAATGTAAATAAACAAGTGCTGCATTCAGATAGATTGTAACGGAAGCATTTAACTGCCATTTAATGTATCAATGACACGTACCTAATGATATGACATGTATCATTGGACAATTTTAAGTGGGTATACTGAAATTCTCAAGCTTTTCTTGTGGGTATTCTCCGTATACCCGTGTATCACGTGGACTAGACCACTGATATGTACGCTTAATAAACACTACTGTATCTGTGCAGAAAATATTAGGTCAAATAAATAACAATGTCAATGTGTGTGTGTGTGTGTGTGCACGTGTGTGTGTGTGCCCATATTCTTAATCAGAGTCACATTGGTGAACTTGGCATGAACTCACATGTGCTTCTTGCTTCAATTGTGGAATTGAAACTGAATTATAGAACTGAAAATGAAAGTAGTCAAACTGAATTTTCAAACCAACCAAGTACAGTTTCAGTGCAAATGAATTCAGTTTATTAAATTCAGTTTCAATTTAGTGAAATTCAGTTTCAACCACTGGATTTAATTTCAAATTACGTGAATACAGATTCAGTCTGAGCAATTTAAATTCAGTTTCTGGTGGTACAAGTTTCTGCCCATAGTTTTGGAACGAAGAACAAGGATGTCTGTTTTCCCCTACATTTTCTGATACATCAAGCTCCACCATAACTGGAAGCACATAACCTTATACAGCCTCGAGATAGTCCTTTCAGCAAAAACCAGGTCAAATAAACAGACCATACCTTGCATTTTAAAACAGATAATACAAACTTCTGGCTAATGAATACCTGGATCAAACTGAATGAGAGCTGAGGGGTTCATTAGGAAATCTTTTCCGGCAGTTGCAGTCCCCTCTTTGACCTGAACCAAAAAGGAAAGCCAGATTAAATGCCAGATTACTGAGGTACAATGAATCTGCCCAAAGTGCATTTCCAAGTGTGCAGGGATAAAGCTGCATACACTAGGTCATTCCAATTAGGGCTCATGCTCATTAGGTTCAATCAAAAATGATTTGTACACCTTAACAGTGACATATGATGACTCAGCTAAGTTCCCCTTTCGAATGATGTCCATTGAGATGGTCCCCTGCTCCTCACATGCTGAGATGTCAGGCTGAGAAAGCTCCACGCTGGACCACCTCATTTCAAGCCTGCATAGACAAGAAGAAAACAAAACTATTCACAATGAACAAAATAAATTGATAAATGTATCATTGTCTTGTCTCACGTGTGAGCTGGCCCTGAATTGCCCAGAGGATCAGAGACTCTGAACTCCAGGCTGTCTGAGAGTGACTCGCTGCCCAGGTTGATGATGTAGACAATAGTTTTTTTGTTAAGCTCCATCTGAGAGAAGCGCTGCGACACAAAACTTCCTGTAAGAGCAAAACAATGCATTTGGTCTTAATCCAGCCAAACTAAGATGCAGTAAAGGCTGAAATGTACACCAAAACCATCTTGACCTGTGGTAATGTTTTCAAGGTAGCCATAATAAGGTGGACGAACAATGGAAAGTGTTAGCTCCTCATCACTGCTGTCACTGTCTTCAGCCTTCAGCTCTCTGGAGGACAGGAAGATCCCATATCGGCCATCTTCTAAAAGCTTTGCTTTCCAAAGTGGGAGCAGCTTCTTAATTTCAGGAGGTGACTTTTCCAAATGCTTGATCTGAAATTACACACGGCTTGCTCAAAGACTCTATCAAAAATTGCTTTTTTGGTGAAAAGTGAGTGATATCACACAATGTGAAGTTTCCAGAAGAACAGTGAATAATACAGTAACTCAAACTGCACTCATGATCACCCACCTGAATAGTGAAAACCACAGGTTCTGTTTGTAGCTGTTCATCCAGCAGGAAGCCCCGACATGAACTGTCGGAGGCCGTGAAAGTAAACCGATCAATCTGCGACGGACCCCCGTTGTGTTTATATGTCAGCTTCAGCTCCTTTATGTCTCTCTGGGTGAAGTTTGAGCCAGCTGTTAATGTGGTGCCAGTTAAACATAAACTACCATATTGCGGAGGCTGGCGGAGGACAAAAGTCAGGGCACTGGGTGGAGTGTCCGGGTCTGACAAGGACAGGCAATCAGGACCAAGGATCATGGTAGAGCCTTGTGGGATTGTAAGGCCTTTGTTAGAGGCCAGGGACGGCAGGACACGGTCCACCATTTCCACTAGGACCTCAAAGCTTCCATTTCGGCTAGTTTTACCATTGCTGATAACAAACCTAAAAAAAATGCAACAGAAATTATGTCAGCTTACAGTATACAGTACATAGTATATACTATATACTATATAATAGTGTATACCATTTAATATTGTAATCCTAATTACTGATGACAACACCTGTTGTTAGGGATAAGATATGCATAGATAAATAGATTTTTAGGGGGAGTTAGTACATGAGAATTGATTCACCCTTATCACTATTCACCTTTAAATCTTTTGTTTCTGTCACAACTATAGATTCAGAAATCCTCCTGTTGCTTTACGAAAGCTACTCTGAAACACATGACTCAGTCAGGAATAATGTGCTATGACTTTAAAGTCCAAAATGCACAATTTTTTCACGTTACATATTGAGCTAAATAAGATAGAGATATAACAATCAAATAACTATGTTGTGTACTCAGTTGTAGCTGAGTGGTTAGAGCAGTCATCCTCTAATGCAAGAGTTGTGGGTTTGAATCCACCAGCAGTCACATGCCGAAGTGTCCTTGGGCAAGACACTGAACCCCTTGTTGTCTTCGATGTGTGTCCCATCAGTGTATGAATGTGATAAAGCTCTGATTAGTCTGATTATGTCTGAAATAATTGTTTTGAAAAAAGGGGCAGATATAATAAGATTTTTTCTTCTTTCTGCTGCCTTTCATTTAAAATCTTTTGTATCTTTTTTTATATTGTTATGGAATTGTTTTGTACTTTTTTAAAATGAATAAACTATATACCATACCATAACTATATACCATACCATTAGTCTCATCAGAATTTGTTCAATTATATTTGTATAGATCTAGTAGAGTGCTGTATGAATGGGTAAATGAGATACAGATTGTAGTGTAAAGTGCTTTGAGTATCATGATAAGATAGAAATGCGCTATATAAGTACAGTCCATTTACCATTCCATTTACCAAACGTTGAAACATAACACAACTGCTTTAAAAAGTTATTTTTTGTGGCTATTTCAAGCTGTTTCAGTCAGTGCTTCAGAAACAGTCTTATCACTTCCATATATGAGATGTGATGTCACGCCATGTATGCAATCATGTGCAACCGCCAGATTTCTATTACGTAAGGCTGGAGGCAGCTGCAAAACTGGGCAGTCTCACACCCCGATAAACAAACAAACAAACAACCCCCACCTTCTTTCTGACTGAGGCCCGAAACCAACAGGAAGAAGAAGGAAAGGACGTGGAAGTTGAATGAAATTTGGCTATGATAGACACACAGTGAGAGTGGGAGTGAGATCTGAGCAATTTGTGACATTTAACATGTTTGGATTTTTGAGTTGCGGTGTAGTGTTAGTTTTTGGTTTAGGCAATACAATGAGGCGACTGGTCCTCATTGGCAATTGGTGGCAGATGATGTGATCATGTTAGCGCCATCGTGCCGTGATCTTCAGTTGTCACTGGAGCGGTTCACAGCCGAGTGTAAAATGGCTGGGATGAGAATCAGCACCTCCAAATCTGAGGCCATGGTCCTCAGTCAGAAAAGGGTGGATTTCTCTCTTCAGGTTGAGGGTGAGATTCTGCCTCAAGTGGAGGAGTTCAAGTATCTTAGGGTTTTGTTTATCAGTGATGAAGAATGGAGCATGAGATTGACAGACGTATTGGTGCAGTTTCTGCAGTATTGCGGACTCTGTGCCGGTCCGTTGTGGTGAAGAGGGAGCTGAACTGTAAGGCAAAGTTACGTTCTAAAAAGCTACATCTACATCCCTACCCTCACCTATGGTCATGAGCTCTGGGTAGTGACTGAAAGAATAAGATTTTAGATACAGACGGTTGAAATGAGTTTCCCCTGCAAGGTGACTGGACTCTCCCTTAGAAGTTCAGTTATCGGGGAGAGACTCATAGTAGAACCGTTGCTCCTCGACATCTAGAGGAGTCAGTTGAGATGGTTCAGGCATCTGGTAAAGATGCTTCCTGGACACCTCCCTAGGAAGGTGCTTCAGACATGTCCGACTGGGAGGAGACCTCAAGGAAGACCAAGGACACGCTGGTGAGACTACATCTCTCAGATGGCCTGGGAACACCTTGGAGTCCTCCCAGAAGAGCTGGAAGAGGTGGCTGGAAAGAGATGTCTGGACCTCCCTGCTTAAGATGCTGCCCCAACACCTGACTTCAGAACAAGCGAACGATGGATAGATGGATGGATGGATGGATGGATGGATGGATGGATGGATGGATGGAT